TAGTGTATTATAGTATATTATAGTATATCAAGGTCTTTTATAGTGAAACACAGAAGCTCAGGCAGATGCCCCGAGCTCTTCCACCAACGCTGCTGAGCTTCGTGGCTGGAAGACTCTCCTGGGTGAAATGCGTGCAGGTATTAGAGTCTGCGGTGTAAGTTCTGTTTTTGAGCTCCTTTCCGTCTGCACATGGGGTGGAAGGTTTACGGTTTCGGGTTGGCTTCTTGCAGTCTCACCATCATTTCTGCATCTGCACCTGCACAATGTGTGCTCTGCGGTGGGCTTCCATCTCAGAACAACGGCTTTCTGTCTGGAACAAGCAACATCGATGAAAACTTGAAACCCTGCACCCGAAACGCCAAAACACAAGACTTCTCTTTAAAGCCAAGCTCAAGTCCCTAGAACCATGTCCTACATCCCCAAGCTAAATCCCAAACCCCACCCCTAATTGAAAAAGGCAAAGCTCAAACCCACTCCACACCGTAACTGTAATCTCGAACTCCAGACCTCAAATCTCAGACCTTGAATCCCAAATCTAAGCCCTGCCCAACGGCCCCTGGTATCTAAGTGCCAGACTCCAGTAAAGCGAGAGGTCGCGGCATTCCTTCAAGGAGAGAAATTTCCTGGCTCGATGGCTCTGAGTCTACAACTGCAAATTGAACTTGAGAGTGCAGCAACCCATGCCTGCAAGGGTACAAAGCAACCAATACAATCTCACGGAGAAAAGTGAGAAGTCAAGAGCAAGAGAAAGCTTTCAGCAAAACTCACAACGGCGAGGAGAAAAAAGCAGGCAATGGCAAGGTACTCCGGACACGAAGCGGAGGCTAATGCCCGCACAAAAAATTACACTAAGAGAATACTACAGTGGGTTATCGGCATAGCAGTGTAGTTCAGTGTAGTAGTATATTATCGCAACATAGGAAACAGCATGCTTGCCGCCTGCCGGAAGTGCCGGACATGCTGCTTTCTATACCCTGCCATCCCCATTCACATCGAAACATGTCTGAATCGCAGTGCTTTGTTCTTTGGCACCATAAGCAGACCTGCAAGCCAGACACTTCACGGTGGAAGGGAGTTTTCTGTGCACACCTAAGTGGTGCAGCTGCCTGGTGTCTCTTCCTTCTGTCCGTCTGCCAGCGCAAAGAGCGCCCGCAACGGCGCAGGAAAAGCCAACTTCAGCCTACCAAACGAAGGCCGAGCAGCAACTTGCAGCAAGCAGCAAGAGCAGCAAAACAAATCAGTACCTTGCTTCTCCCAGCCTTTCCTCAACCGCAGCTATTTGCTCCGACTCTGCGCCTGACGAGGCTGAGAGCTCTCTCGCGCATGGCGAGGCGAGGCGCAGGACTCAATCGGACACTGAAGAGTCGTGATCGGGGGGCTAGGCGACCCTGCCAAAGGCAAGCTGCTGAAAATGCAGGGCCGGCCTGCATTGAAGCAGTCTCCAAGAAGCGATGGGCGAGCTTTGCCTGTGAGCAGACAGGAAACTCACATGAAATCGGATCTGCACTGAGGAGCCATGCGCAACAAAATCAAGACGGATGGCCATGTCTCGCTGCAACAGGAGCAATATGGGGCAATGGAGGTCGATGCTGGCGCCGTCCGCGTGGGGAACGTGGGGCGAGTGGACGGCGTGGTTGTGCTGGGGGAGAGGGAGGCGGTGGGGGCGGGGAGGGACGACTAAAATTCCTCTCCTCTTCTACTAACGAGAGAAAGGGAGGTGGGGTGTTGTTGGAGGCCACTGGGGGTTGAAGGGGCCGCAGAGGGCACCGAGAAGGGAAGTCGGGAACTTGGGAACGTGGGGAGGTGACCTGGTTGTGCGGAACGACTAAGATTCCTATTCTTAATAAGCACCTGGCAAGGGGAGGAGGGGTCTTGGTGAAGGAAAGGGAGGAGGGAGGCTGGTGGAGGAGGCGCGGAGGGCGCCGGGGAAGTGAAGAACGTGGGGAACGTGGGCAGCGTGGTTGTGCTGGGCACGACTAAAATTACTATTCCTAATAAGAACCTACGAAACGAGTGGAAAAGGAGGCCACTGGGGGTTAATGAGGAGGGCGCGGGAGGGAAGTGGAGAAAATGAGCGGCGTGGTCGTGCTGGGACGGCGAAAGGTAAATAAAAACTTGTTAAACAAGGGGAAAAGGCCACTGCGGGTTGAGGAGGGCGCGAAGGGCGCCGAGGTGGAAGTGGGGAATGTGGGGAACGTGGGTCTCCCCCCCAGCACTGGCACATTGTCAACACATCAATTGGCATCATTCTTCCCAAACTGTGTCCTGTGCCAGCAATCTGGCTGTTGGCGACACCACCTGAGTTCATGTACTCAACCGCAGTATCTCGGACAAAAACTCATCCAATGACCAAACTGAATCACAGATCCATTTGATGCAGGCCAACTCAGACCAGAGCCTACCATGCAAATCCAAAACTGAGCAAGGAACAAGCCGATGCGAACACAGAGTCAACACTTCGGAGGTTTGAAACACACTCTCAACCATGCAGATGTGACATACGTGTATGTACAGAAATACAGATCATGCCAGCAAGCAGAGAGACAGAGAGACATAGAGACAGAGAGACAGACAGGCAGACAGCCAGCCAGCCAGCCAGCCAGCCAGGAGACGGACAGACTGACATGTCTACATTTCGTGCCTTACGTATACATCTGTATGTATATACTTATATATAAATATATATATATATATATAAGTACATACATGCATACCTGCATACAATCATAGATACACATACACATACACATACACATACACATATACATACACATACGCATAAACATACACGCACACACACATACACATACACATGCACATACACATACACATGCACATACACATACACATACACGTACACAATCAAACATACATTACACACTCGCATACATACATACATACCTACCTACCTACCTACATGCAT